GAAACGCACGTTCGTGGACGAACCGGATTTTAAGAACGCGATCGACATCGCGCGCGTGATCCCGAAATTATGCGTTACGCGTGCCAATGGAAAATAATTCGCCAGAGCTTCCGTCTCGTTCAATTACAATACAGAATTCTAGGCGGGGCGCTGCGCTTGTTCCACAGTGTTCGGGTCCGTCTTGTTGGAAACTCGGTTGCATCCGAATCGCTTGCCAAATAAAAAATAAAAATAAAAATAAGCACTTTAGTCAACAGCTGAATTGCGTGCACAGTTTTTTTGCGACAGAGTGGAGTTGTGTGCGAGTCATTTTCGGGACAGGCCCGAAGTGTGTGCGTAAAAATTTTAGCTGACGACCGGTTTTCGTCGACCTGCACGGCTGCATGTTCAGTTTATTATATATACAATGATTTTTTTCAACTATTTCACTGATACGCCTACCTATGTGTGTATTATTATTTTCAAATTTGTTTTAAGTATGATTTTTTTGGCACATCACTGAGCTCTGTCACGAAAAAACCCCGCAAGCAATGATGAAGTTATGATGTTCGCACTTAACTCGGAAACACCGGGAAAAACATTGTAACGTGTCATCATCGTCTCGCTGAGAAACTCCAAAGCCTCCGTTTCCTACAAACACAGATCCGTGAATACGTGGTTGAAGTAGCCAAAGTACCTAGAACCAATGTTGGTGTTCATAAATGATTCACGCGCGTGAATAGTATATAGATAATTCTATCATGTCGCGTTCGCCAGAAGACCAACATTTGCGTGACACCGACGACTCGTTCTTAAGTATTTGAAGGGTAGAGAGGAAAAACGATAATAGTCCATTTTTTTTTTTTTAAATTTGATTTTATGGCTTGATTTGATAGCGAATTAAGAGTAATATTCACTGTTGAAATCGATTTGATGAAAAAAATTTTTCAGTCTTCAATTATTAAAGAGAAAATATTAAGTATACTGGTGAAGAAAGATAAGGATACGACGACTTAGCTTTTGCTCCCCTGAACAATCTACAGAAATCGACTACTACCGTTTTTCCTCTATTTATTTTCCCTTTATTTATTATATTAAATATTATTTATTTTTAAAATTCAACAATAATATTCGGAATAGAACATTACAAGGAGGTTTTTTGATGTTTTCTCTAATATAATTGAATAACTTGAAGAGAACTCGAAAATATGCTCTAAATTTAGTTTCATTGGCAATCAAGCGTCTCTGTATAAGGCTGTTTTAGCAGCCTTTCCCTGTTTCATTCACGGTACATTTCACCGCTTTCTTCTCTAAATAAATGGGTCAATGGTAGAAGTTCTAAAGTTCTAAGATACTAGTAATCACCAACCGATGAACGTTGTATGAGTCCAAATTACGCACTTATAATCACGTATAGTGTTGCAAAACACCTCCACACGCATAGCGCTAGTGTGACCAAGCAATTGCGCATTCACGAACGCATGTTTGTAGGAAACCATGTCTGAGAGGTTCAATGTTTACGGTTGAACTCAACAGCCACGAACCACACATTGGAAACGAAAACGATTTATTTACAGGAAAACAAAAATGTATGGGAAAAATTATTTTTTTATCCAATCTGCGCGTTTCGCCGAAATTCGAAAATAATTAATATTAGTACACAAATAATTATACCATAATAATAACACCGCGTAACTAACATTTCATCAGAAATAGGTATACCATCAATAAATTGATATTCTTCAATTTATCAGTTGCACTAATCGAGTGGGTCATGCTTATCAAATGATAGCTTATTTAATAGTTGGTAGATATAATTAAATCATAATTAAAAAAATCACTTATCAAGGGAGATGGAATAATTTGCTCTACTTATAAATAGGAATTGCACTGTAGTGCCTAGGTATCAGTGGAAAAATATTTGGTAAAGTGACTGACAATGCGAAAAATCAATGGGTTTGCAATGAGTGTAAAAGTGACTGCGAAAATAAAAAATTAACTATCCAGAATATTTAATATAAAAATAATAATAAGCAAAAATTAATAGAATCGGTTCAATTTATGAGTATTCGATTTGCTTAGTACAATATTACCATCGGAAAATTAATAAGTGAATTACAATTACCAAGATTATATAACATGAAATCAGCTGAAATAAACGGTAATACTTCAAAGGAAATTAAATTAATAAAAAATAATGTTTTTAGTTCATACTAAAGTAGCAAAATATTTTATCAAATTAATATGCAGACCGTCGAATTTGGTGTTGTAGAGAATCTTTACGTATGAATCGTGCGTGCGGACTGCGGAGTCGCGTCCTAAGAATCGTACATTGATAATGTGTAACCTGAGTAATTTTTAATGATCCTCACATCTCTCCAGTGATTTTTTTTTTTCTGACAGTGGTCTGAAATGAGATCAATCCATTAGTATTCATGGACAAATGCTAATTTACAAACTAATTAAATAGTGTTTGTACACAACGCGTAACTTACATGGTACTATTTGTTTGCACAAATCGTACAATTATTCTCATAACACTTACGGAAGTCAGGATCACTTGACCGAAAGCTGCGAAAATTCACGCAATTTATCGGCTCCCTACGTTCCAGGCACACACAATACCAATCACAAAACCTTATAAAAATATTATTCTGGATCACGACCAATAAAATCTTCTCGATTCAAACCGATACAGGCTAAATCAAAAGTTCAAAACTCCAAAGGCTAAATTTGATGTTACGCTTTTAACCTTCTTATTCTTAAAAATGTACATCCTTTTGTACATACACCATTTGTTAACTAAATATCTATTTTAATGTATAGGTGCAATATACTATAATTATACTAGTTGTATTTGGGCTTATACTCTTTATAAACACTTATTAAAAACAAAATATAAATCTCAGTTCATTTCTGTGGCAATATAATATTATTATTGTCATTAATATAAAAACTTTTTTAGATCCTATTCGATAATTCCATAACATGCAAAACTAGGAAATAATTTGTCTTTCTTCTGCCGAGTGACGTCACTCGTATACATTCCTGTTTGACGCAGGAGTAATAGAATAATTGTTTTGAGAATACGAACATTTTCATTTTCATTTCTACTATTACATTACGCTACAAAAAAATAAAATGTTTTTACTTTTGTTTCATGGTCCTTGAAGAAAGTGTTGGTTAAAAATGAATGTATAATTCTCGTTCTAGCTAGATTGACTTCTTTCCGTCATTCAAATTTTAGAGAATTTTCCATTTTTTATATTTTTTAATTTTTTAGACAGTAGTACATAATCCAAATAACTTTATCATACTATGTTTAATATTTTATGGATTATTTAATGTCATTAATCGGTATGCAAGTAATTTTTAGATGAAAGATTAATGTTTATTTTTTTAAATACGTTTCAATAAATTATTCCGATTTATTTTATTCTATTAATAAACATTTTAGATATTTAACTCTTATCTCACTATATTATATGCTAATAAAATTATGTATATTTAAATTCTTGTATTTATGAAACCTAGTTTTTGAACTTTAATGACTAATATTAAAAACCAAAAATTTTAAATAAAAAAAAAATACATACAGACTTTTTTTGTTTCGAAGTTCTATACCTATTTTATGAATGTTGTCTGCATATACTAAATAAAAAAAATGACTAACGTTCGTAAATAATCAAATAAAAAACAGACATGGAATTAGCGTTAAGATTTATTAAAATATCATAATTATTCCAAATGTACAGTATGTACCCATATAATAATATTAATAATATTTTAACATATTTTATAGTTTGAAATATTTGTACACGAGCACATCGACGCGTGGCATTATTTGGATTCAACAAAAACCACATTAGATAATTCGATATTGGAAAAGTAATAACAATTTTTATTTACTAATATAACGTTATTTCACTATAGTTAATTATTATATATTAGTATTTATAATTATTATTTAAATATGATAAAAATAAAAGTTATAATATTAAGTGTTTGACCTCCAACAGAGTTCATCATGTGTTCTAAGTATCACGAGTACGTATTTATAGCTTTCTGATAACATACCAACAAAGCAGCATTAAATGGATAAAATAATCCCATAGACTCTGTAACGAACACTAATAATTTAATAGGCAAAATTCCCAACTCGATGTCACAAAAAAACTAATTTTACTCTTCAAACAAAAAAAAACGCAAACTTAATCGATTAAAATCAATAGAATAAAAAATTTAATTATTTATAATGTATTAAAATCATCGAAAACGATGAAAAATAACTTTTCAATACCTCGTACAAGGGAGTGAAACGATGATATGACCCTTCGCCTTTCACATAATGATAAATACTACAACCACCGTCACGGACACTAGCACCGCAGTTACCGACACTTCTACAATAAAAACCACTATATTTACCATGACATACACCAACACTAATAGACAAGAATGACAAAACCTATCATAATACATATTAAAATTAAACATACGAAATCCAGAAATCAACAACTATTCCAAATAGTATTGTCATCTCCGTCGCCGTTCATGGTGTACATAAAAAATAGACCAAACCATAGTCTTCAATTCCACAGACTGAGTGTCACAGGAATACATTTTAGCCTTACGTCAAATCGTATCTCCTAAAAAACATTACTTTCGTATCTAGAATTTCGAATACCCTATAGATTATGTATCTTCTCATTCCACAAGAGTATATAAGATATGGACAAAAAAAACAAAAGGTACTAAGATGAATGAACATCAAATCCAATTAAAAATGCTATTAAAACAGGAAAAAAATATTATCTCAAATAAATGCACATCCATAGAAAACCGAGATACGTCTAATACTATTATAAATATAAATATTGCCTCCGTGTTCCAAATAAATCATTTAAA